GTGACGTGGAGCGCCTCCTGGACGAGGCAGGGCAGCGCGCGCAGGAGGTGGAGCGCGGCGCAGCGCAGGCCGTGGAGGAGACGGCGGCCGTGGCTGCGGAGGAGGGGGAGGTTGCCGTTGCCGCCGAGGGCGTGGGCGGAGCCTTTGGGTACCTGGGGGGCCTGGCCGAGGGGGCCGCAGCCCTGGCGCCCACCGCGGGCGAGGTTGCTGGAACGTTGGCTGGTGCGGCAGGAGCTGCAACGGCGGGGCTGGCCGTGGGAATCGCAGGCGGCGCAGCTTACGGCCTGGCTCGCGGCACGGGCTGGGTGCTGGAGAACACACTCTTCCGGCCTCAGCAGGGCAGCGAGGACGCGGCCGTGCAGGACGTCCGGTCCGCCAACAACATGAACGACGCCATGCAGCCTCAGCACTTCACGCTGCGCAGCGGCAGCAGCACGTCCGGCAGCCCCGCAAGCAGCCGCGCCTCCTCCCAGTCTGGCTTCCGAGTCCAGGCGCAGTCCAACCACACGCCGCGCCCCTTCTCCTGGGGCCTGAACCCCGTAGCCCTGCCCCAGTCTCGGGCGAGCTCCAGTTCCGGGCAGACGCGCCGGAGCCTGCCTCCACCCAGCTTTGACCAGCTGGCGCGAGACATTGAGGCTGCTTAAAAACCCTTGGGGAGAGTTTATTTTTGCACGGGTTTGCGCTGAACAAATGCTAGTCTTCTAGGCCGTATATCAATATACGCTGTAAGAATAGCTCGTTTTGCACGGTTTTGCGCCACAAAACGCTATTCTTCTCGTCCGTACATCTATGTACGCACTGGAGGAATAGCATTTTCCTTCGCCGTACGACTCAAATTGCGTGTATAAAGAAGCATGGAGGTAGTCACCGCCGGAGACCAGGTGAGCTGGTGCGAGCCTGGACTACAAGTGAGACGATTCAACACTAGTACGTTCACGGGCGCGGCATGAGCTCGTTCTCCCACTAACCTCTAGGGTTCTGCAGCAGCCGTCTGACCGCGGGCACGTCCTTCATCGACCCGAGTCCATCAGATTCGCCTTCCGCGTTCAGAACACGGGACGGACACCAACCGCTGACCCCAGCCATCGCTGCATGACCTGCTGAAGGGCCTTGAGTGTACAACTAACAAGGCCCAGGGAGGGTTTCGACGAAGTGACGACCCGCGCACCAGGGCGGCTACGCGGACGTGCTGCTGCGCCCCACCATGTGGGCATCCTGCGCTGCGGGAAGATGCTGCCGCCGCAGCTGAACCTGGTGATAGAAATTGAGTTTGCGGACGCCACCACTGCGCTGTGGTCCGAGAACGCCGGGGCGCACCCGGCGGGGGCCACGCTGAGCTCCGACTTCGAGATCCAGAACGTCCGAGTTCTGGCCTCCCAGGTCGTCCTGGACTCTGCGCTGGTGGAGTCCTTCAACCGCGTGCTCCTCTCAGGAAGGTCCCTGGTGTTCAGCTACCCCACGGTGCACACGCAGCTGTCCAGCGTCCCGAACGGCGTGGCGGAGCACAACGTCACCGTGGCGCGCGCCTTCACGAAACTCATGGGCGCGTTTGTGACTTTTTGGGACAACGACGCGGGCTCCAAAATCCACTTGCTGGCCAACCCGGGGCAGGACGTGGCCCCCATCGGCGCGGCCAGGCAGGAGGACAGCCTCCTGGAATCGCAGATGCAGCTGGGCAGCCTGCAGTACCCTCACAATCCTATGAAGGGAGCCTCGGAGCACTTCCATTTCCTCTCGGTCCTTGCGGGTACTTACGACGACACGGTGCGCAACATTGACATCGGCCGTGTGGGCTACCTGCGCCACAGCTTCATTGCCGGCTTTCCGACGGAGCGCGTGCCCAAGATGCCACTGAGTGGTGTCAGCACCCGCTCGGGCGACCTTGCCCGGTTCACCTTCAAGGGCCTGGACGGCACGATGACGGACCTGTTCATCCACCTGGTGGCCTACCAGCTGGTGACGCTCTCCGGCACGGGCGTCTCTGTGCTGGACTAAAAAGAAAGCCCGCTGCCCTTCAGCTTCGTTTTTGAAGTTGAGTGACTGCGCCAAAAAACCAGCAAAACCACGAGAACGGCCTAATCCGGAATGCTCAGCCGCTCCGCAAGCTCTGCCGTGGCCGCGCGCGCTATCTCGTCGCACAGCGCAGCAGGAACGCTGTAGAGCAGCTCGTGGCTGCTGGCTGACCCTCTCGTACTGCCCCTCCATCAGCCGGGGCCCCCGCTGCGCAGCCCGGAGGTGCCTGCCGTCCACGCGCCGCAGCGGCTGCCGGGCTTGCACAGCCCTCGCCTCGGCCTCCAGCGCATGTTGGTCCACAGCCGCGTCTGCTTCCTGTACGGAGTTCCGTACTTGCAGTAGGTCACGTCCACCCAGGGCAGGCGCTCCATGAACGGGCGGGTCTTCAGCAGCCCGGTGGCCGGGTTCTCAATGGCCCACATGGGAGGGTCCAAGTGTGCGATGATTTCGATCTTAAGGACCAGGGCATCAGCTTCTAGCAACCGCCGCGGCCGGGTGGTCAGCGCCCTGGAGTACTCGGTGCACACGGGCGATGCCCAGACAAACTGAAAGTGTCCGGGCGGAAAGGCTGCGCGGTAATCCCATTGCAGAATGTTGCAGCAGATGGAGGGCTCAAACTTGGGCAACAGGTCAAGGCTCACAACTTCCCAGCCTTCCGCCTCGAAGGCTCGTCCCACTGAGCCGGTGCCCTTGAAGCGCGGGCATCCGTTTCTTTAAAGCCGGACCGCCCCCACCGTCCCCGCAGCAAGCCGCCGAATATTTCCAAAACGGGGTTGGCCCGCACGTCTGGTCGGACGAGACTGGACCCGCCAAGCTGCTGTTCTGCTGCGACCCCTTTTCAGTTTTAGACGACCTCTAGAAGGTTGCCGGAGGTGGCTCGGCTGCAGCCGATGTAGAGGTGGCGCAGCGTGAAGTGCCCAGAGCGCGTGTCCAGGTGTACCCTGCCTTGGAGCGTCAGGCCCTGGCTTGACGCGTAGGTGAGCGCGTGGGCAAGGCGCGTCTGGCTTGAGAGCTCTTGCGGGGTGAGCTCGGTGCCGCTCTCCAGTGCGATGTTGTCCCCGCAGGCCGCGACTGTCACGAACGTGCCTTTCTTGATGGCTCCGCCCGCTCCGATGAGCTTCAGGCCCGGCCACACGCGCATGGGTTGCGACTTGTTTTGTTCGGCGGTGTCCGGGTCTTCCTCTGGCTCCACAAGCTGCGCGTTCGCCGGGGCCAGGCGACGGTTCGCGTCCGCGTTGACCGCCGTCCGCTGGGCGTGGCTGATCGTGAGTGTGGTGTCCGGCACGCCTGGCTTGCGCGGAAAGAGCCGTCGCGCCGTCTGCAAAGCTTCCTCTAGGGGCATTTCGTCCGGCTCGTCCACGCGTAGGCTCCGCACGAGGTCGAAGATGCGCGCGTCGCTGCGCTTGTTCTCCGTCAGCTCGTGCCGCCAGCCGCCCGCAAGGTCCAGCATCAGCTGGCTGTGTCGCAGCGGCTTGTTCACAGACGTGCCTCAGGTGGGATCTGCCCCGGCTCAGGTCGTCAAGAGGACCCTGCCAGGGGGGCACTTCTGGCGGGACCCAGCCCCGGCTCAGGTCGGTTACATCTTGGCCAAGAGGACCCTGACAATTCAGGTCCTGGTTGAAAAATCCGGCAGGGCATGCAGGGCACCTAGAGCACCTGGGGGGGACCCGCTCCGGCTCAGGTCGGTAGGGCACCCGGCACCTAGGGCACCTGGGGGTGCCCGGGCTCAGGTCGGCTGGCCAAGAGGACCCTGGCAGGGCACCTAGGGCACTTCTGGCGGGACCCAGCCCCGGCTCAGGTCGGTTACATCCTGGCCAAGAGGACCCTGGCAATTCAGGTCCTGGTTGAGAGGATCCGGCAGGGCATCTATGGCGCTTCCGGTGACTCAGGCTCCTGGTCTCGGAGATGCAGGGCCCCTGATGTGGGATTGGTGCGGGGCTTGTCGGCTTGTTGGACGCATTGTTGGCTTGTTGGACGCATTGTCGGCTTGTTGCACATGTATCGGCGGCTTTGTTGGCTCAGGCGGCTACATCCTGCTCCTGGAGAAGCCTTTTTGCAGGGCCCTAACGCGGGGTTGGTGGGAGGCTTGTCGGCTTGTTGGATTGCCGTGCATTGTCGGTTTGTCGGATTGCCGTGCATTGTTGGCTTGTTGGATTGACGTACATTGGCAACTTTGTTGGATTGACGTACCTTGGCAACTTTGTTGGATTGACGTACATTGGCAACTTTGTTGGATCGACGTGCGGCTTGCTGAGGCGGCTACATCGCAACATCCTGCTCTGGCGGACCAGGCCAGCCCATGTCTGTCGTGTTGTGACACTTGATCGTTGCGTGAGCCTGTGAGCGTGAGCCTTTGTTATCGCGAGCCTTCGTTGTACCACGACCAAATGTTGCAGCTCATCCAAAACGGTATGGGCTTCGATTTTATGACCATGCCCAAATGCGAATCCAAACGGCCGGTGATCCCCGTTGGGTTTCGTTTCTACCACCAAATGATGCCTCACGAGCCTGTGCATGGACGATTGGGATCGCAGCATTTTTGCTTCCAAGATTTTGTTTTAGCTTCTTGTCATCCCTGACACCAGTCAACATGGACCACATCATCGGTCGGGTGGACCCTCCGCATCCTGCAGCGGCGGTGGAGGAGGTGCTCGACAGTGGTGCCTCCAGCGACTTCAACGATGCGGCCTTTGAGGCTGGCAGTGGAGGCGGCACTGAGGCTGGCAATGTTTTGCTTTCGCTGTAGCGCCCTCCAACTTGAGTAGTTTTCCATTGGGATTGCAAATGATTGGCGCAGAATGCAGTGCGACATCTCAAGCTGTCCTAAGCAGATGGCGCAGTGAACCGTTTTCCTTACCCGGCTGGCAGCAGAGGAGAGTTGATGTCAAACAATTCAATCCTCAACACACGCATGTGCACGCATTGAGGGCAGCTTCATCCAGACACGTTCGATGCATATTGAAACCCGGCAGCATGGTCACACAGATTCATTTTCTATCATTGAACCCTTGCCATGGAGTGGCGGCATGGGCAATTCGTAGCATACCGTGGGGAACCTGTTCCGCAAAATGCACCTCTTGCGTGGTTTGGGCAGCCTGGGTCTTTTGTTGCGCCTGCTGCGCCACTTCCGCGCCCTGCGGTGCAATTTCTACCGCAAACACAGGCAGTTTTTTACGGAAGCCATGCCATACCAGAGCCAGCGCGGCAACGACAACTTGACAAAACATATTGTTTAGTTGATGAGGACGGACGGCCCAAGCCCTTCTCAAGTGTCAGTCAGATCAGCGGAAGGAACTATGAAAGTATGATATCCTGCATGATTGGCAGTGGTGGTCCTCGGACGCTCCGTGCAAATTTATTTCAAGACCCAAAGGAACAACATCGTTTGAAGACATGCAAGGAAGCTGTTGCGCGCTTTCTGCGCGAAACAGTCTCCGACCACATTGGGGACGGAATGAGATCAAGGGGTGTCGGGGAGGAGGAAGCAGAAGTCGACACAGTCTACAATGGTTCTTTCGAGAACTTTGCTGCAAAGGTCGAGAGGCTGAGCACAGTCAAGGTCAGTGCTACGTGCGCAAACGTTCAGAGAGTGCTTGTGGAAATCTGTTCCGACAGCCGCTACGTTGCAATGAAGCTTTATCAGATTGAGATCCAGAGCTGTCTTGTTGCGCGCAAGGGATTCTGAGCACGTGACGATGCAAGACAATTGGAGCCAGTTGAGCTTCAGCCGGATACCACAGGCTTTGCGATCGGTTTCAACCGAGCAGCATTGCAAGTCGATACAGAATCGCTGGCTGATCGACTTGGCCTTCAAAATGTGTTGGGCTTGCTCAAGAACAAGATGCTGCACGTTGTCTACTTTCAATCAGAGGCTGCACTGCCTGCAGCATTGGAAATGGCCAGCAAGGCAATTTCAAAGGCGGAAATGGCGCTACAATTGGCGCGAGGCAAGCGTTGCGCGGGGTGCCACATGGTTTGTTTTCTTGCGATGCCCTTCTTTTCTTCGGCAGTGTCAGGACATTGCGATGGGTCAAGGAACCAAGCCTGCCAAAACGGCGCCCTTGCCAACTCTTTCTAAGCCATTGGCATCAGACGCTTTTGGTCTTGCATTTGCATGTTGTTTCATGGTTCATGGGGCGCTTGTAAGCAAACATGCTCTTGAATGCAAAGCTGCAAGCAAAGCTGACCGATCATGTTCTTTTCAAACAAACAGGAGATTTCCCCCAAAATCCATGCGCTGGAAGAACGATTGGCGCTGGCAGACTAATGCCCTACACATCATTTGTTGTACTTGGGCCTTGGATGGGATTGTTGCTTTCTAGTTGGATGTATTACAGCTTGATTTCGAAGCCTAATCAGTTTCAGGGAGAGTGAAAGCCAACGGGCGCATCCGTTGCTCAGATTGCCGCCTGCAAGGCAGTGCCGCCCCGCAACGACCCCCAGCAGTGTGGGTCTGTCAGCTGGGAAGCCCTGCCTGGACCTTACCAGCAGCTGTGAGCAGTTTTGCCCTGCATTCATGTTCGGAAAAAAGCTGTCGACTTCCTTCTCAGAAGAGCTCTCAAATTGTCGCCCACCTTCAATATTCAATGGAGATGTTGTGTTTTTTTTCCTTGCCCTGGCTCCCTGACCTTGCAGGGCAGTGGCGGCTTCCAGCCCGCTGGCAATGCTTTTCCAATCGACCCAGTGCCGCAAAACATAGCACCCCTGCCATGTATTTGTTGAATGCATTTTGATCACTTTTTGTGTGAACTTGAACTTGGAGGATGCTGTGCGTCTTAGCTTCAATGTTGGCAGGCATACTTGAAGGAAGTGCTGCCCTCAAGCCGAATTTCGCTCATACCGTCTTGCGAGCTGTTTGCAGAAGGGCGATGACAAAGATGGAGGGTTTGAATGATTTCAACTCTGAGCGTTGCTTGAGGCCATCAAGCAGAAGAACCCAAATACTGTATCCTGCGATGCCTATCAAATGGACATTTACCGCCGGAAGGAGAGCTTTGCATGTCAAAGCGCACCCCATTTGTTCCATCCCCCACACCCCACCCCATTGCCGTCTCTCAGCTGGACTTTGCAGGACGGCCGCTGGGTCAAGGAAACAAGGATGTCATCAAGTCTGCGCAACACAGATGAGCCCAGCACTTGGTTCCGATGCCTTTCAACTTTGGGTTGTGCCGTCGCCCAGCTGTCAGGGCAGACTGCTACGGATTCATGTTGCCAGCTGGAGCTGCTGGAGCCACATAGTTTGAGGCACCTGCCTCAGCGCAGCAGTCTTCTACACTTGTGAGCTTGCGTCGTTAATAGGCTACTGCTGGCTCTGGTCACTGTTCTCGGCTGAGGCAATGCTGGCCCACAACGTTTCACCTCTTACAGGAACAAAAAAGTGCAGTCGCAGGCACAGTTGTTTCGTTGCAGTGCGGCTTGCTGTGAAGCTCTTGGTTGGCGGCAAATTTCCACAAATCGGTGACATAGTTTGTCACGTTACCAGCTGGAATTGCTGGAGTCGCATAGTTTGAGGCACCTCAGCGGCGCAGCGGTGTTCTACACTTGTGAACTTGCATCGTTGACAGGCTACTGCTGGCTGTGGTCACTTGCAGTTTTGCTTTCTCTGTAGTGCCGTCCAACTTGAGTAGTTTTCCACTGGAATGCAGTGCGACATCTCAAGTTGTCCTAAGCAGATGGCGCAGTGAACCTTTTTTCCCCACCCGGCTGGCAGCAGAGGAGAGTTGATGTCAAACAATTCAATCCTTAACACATGCATGTGCACGGCATTGAGCGCAGCTTGATCCAGACACGTTCGATGCATATTGAAACCCAGCAGCATGGTCACACAGATTCATTTTCTATCATTGAAGCCTTGCCATGGAGTGGCGGTATGGGCGACTCGTAGCATACCATGGGGAACCTGTTCCGCAAAATGCGCATCCTGGGTGGTGGTCGCCTGGGCCTTTTGTTGCGCCTCCTGCGACATTTGGGCAGCCTTCTGCATTTCCACCGCAGCAAACACTGGCATTTTCAGGATGCCGTGCCGCAGGAAAGCCAGCACGGGAACGACAACTTGACGAAACGTATTGTTTAGTTGGTAAGGACGGACGGCCCAAACCCTTCTCAAGTGTCAGTCAGATCAGCGGTGGAGACTATGAAGGTATGATATCCCGCATTTTTGAATGTGGTGGTCCTCGGATGCTCCTTAAGATCCAACGTCAAGACCCAAAGGAGCGGCAGCGTTTGGAGACATGCAGGGAGACTGTTGCGTGCTTTCTGCAAGAAACAGTCTCCGACCACATTGGGGACGGAATGAGATCAAGGGGTGTCGGGGAGGAGGAAGCTGAAGTCGACGCATTCTACGATGGTTCTTTCGAGAACTTTGCTGCAAAGATCCAGGGGCTAAGCGAAGTCAAGGTCAGTGCTACGTGCGCAAACGTTCAGAGAGTGCTTGTGGAAATCTGTTCCGACAGCCGCTATGTTGCAATGAAGCTTTATCAGATTGAGATCCAGAGCTGCCTTGTTGCACGCAAGGGATTCTTAGCACGTGACGATGCAGGACAATTGGAGCCAGTTAAGCTTCAGCCGGATACCACAGGCTTTGCAATCGTTTTCAACCGAGCAGCATTGCAAGTCGATACAGAATCGCTGGCTGATCGACTTGGCCTTCAAAATGTGTTGGGCTTGCTCAAGAACAAGATGCTGCACGTTGTCTACTTTCAATCAGAGGCTGCACTGCCTGCAGCAATGAAAATGGCCAGCAAGGCAATGTCAAAGGCGGAAATGGCGCTACAACTGGCGCAAGGCAAGCGTTGCGCGGGGTGCCACATGGTTTGTTTTCTTGCGATGCCCTTCTTTCCTTTTGCAGTGTCAGGACATTGCGATGGGTCAAGGAACCAAGCCTGCCAAAACGGCGCCCTTGCCAACTCTTTCTAAGCCATTGGCATCAGACGCTTTTGGTCTTGCATTTGCATGTTGTTTCATGGTTCATGGGGCGCTTGTAAGCAAACATGCTCTTGAATGCAAAGCTGCAAGCAAAGCTGACCGATCATGTTCTTTTCAAACAAACAGGAGATTTCCCCCAAAATCCATGCGCTGGAAGAACGATTGGCGCTGGCAGACTAATGCCCTACACATCATTTGTTGTACTTGGGCCTTGGATGGGATTGTTGCTTTCTAGTTGGATGTATTACAGCTTGATTTCGAAGCCTAATCAGTTTCAGGGAGAGTGAAAGCCAACGGGCGCATCCGTTGCTCAGATTGCCGCCTGCAAGGCAGTGCCGCCCCGCAACGACCCCCAGCAGTGTGGGTCTGTCAGCTGGGAAGCCCTGCCTGGACCTTACCAGCAGCTGTGAGCAGTTTTGCCCTGCATTCACGTTCTGAAAACAGCTGTCGACTTCCTTCTCAGAAGAGCTCTCAAATTGTCGCCTAGCTCCAAAATCAAAGGCGTTTGTGGAGCCATCGGTTAAACGGATGGATGTGAACTGGATTGCAGTGCTTGTGCCTTGCAAGGACGGCAAGGACTTCAAGGTCATTGGCAACCCCTTTCAAGTTAAGGGAGTTTTGGCAAACGCAGCGGCCTTAGCTGCGCCACTTTACGAAGGATCACCTCAGCTTTGTTTCGCCGTCGCAAATGCTGCTTGACGCTCCGCGGGGATGTCAGGTGGATGATCTCAAAGAAGCCGTGCGCTCGGAAGCGAGTTGCATTCTACCTTTTGCTTGACTGTACATGGTAATTCGCAACTCTTCCAACTCTATTCACTTCTGATTGCTTCAGGGGATAAAGAACAAGGCGGAGCTCTCAATTCCATCGTTCAAAATGGATATTTACAGCAAAGAGGAGAGCTTTGCATGTCAAAGCGCACCCCATTTGTTCCATCCCCCACACCTCACCCCCTTGCCGTCTCTCAGCTGGACTTTGCAGGACGGCGGCTGGGTCAAGGAAGAAAGCATGTCAGCAAGTCTGCGCGAGACAGATGAGCCGAGCACTTGGTTCCGATGCCTTTCAATTTCGGGTTGCGCCGTCGCCCAGCTGTCAGGGCAGACTGCTATGGATTCACGATTCCAGCTGGAGCTGCTGGAGCCGCATAGTTTGAGGCACCTCAGCAACCCAGCAGTGTTCCACACGTGCGAACTTGCATCGTTGCCAGGCTACTGCTGGCTGTGGTCACTGTTCTCGGCTGAGGCAATGCTGGCGCACAACGTTTCACGTCGTACAGTGACAAAAGCATGCGTTCGCAGGCACAGTTGTTTCGTTGCAGTGCGACTTTGCTTGACTCCTGAAGGGTAAGGCAGGCAACTGTTCACATTTTTGAACATCAGGCAACGGTGTTCAAGTCAAGCAGGGAATGCCTGCAACGGGTACAGGACCAGCAACAGTTGCCGGCGCTGGTCAACAGCTGTTTCACTGCGGCGTTCCTCCCTGTGCCAAAGCGCGCGGATGCAGTACCAAGCCGTTTGAAGAAGTGCGGGGGAAAGAATTGCTCTCGTGGCTTGCCAGTTTGATCTTTTTGAGCCAAGTTGTGCACAGGCCGTGCGCCCGAAGTGTCTTCATTTCTTTTACTGTTGCGCAACTTCGTCCGCCGGCGGTGCACGGCCACCGTCAGCCGGCTCACGTCGTCCAGGTGCCGCTGCCCCTCCTGCGCCTGCCTGCGCTCGCCTAGCCAGTTGTTGAAGGCGCCTCCTCCAGTTCTCGGTAGCGCTTCAGCAGCAGCGGCTGCAGGTTGTAACTCGGATAAGTTTTGCGGAACCACCAGAGCATCTGCGGCTCGTTGCGGGGCTCAATGGACATCATCTTGCTTTTACACTAGTATGCTTGCGCCTGTTGTCAACCGGTCATAAGCCGACTGCCTCTCCAGCATGCGCAGGGCGCGCTGCTGCTCTCTTGTCGGCTTTGGCTTGCGCTTTGGGGCAGCCGGCTCAGTAGGCACGTCCTGCTTCGGTTTGTTCTTGCTGCCAGGAGGCCTCCCCCTCTTGTGCAACGTGTGGTGCCTCCGGCGCAGCGCGCGCCTCTGGCGCCTCTTGTTTCGGATGAAGGGCGTGTCAAGGGCGCCGTGCGGCTTGTGGAGTTGCGGCGTGTCAGCAAAGTCGTCGATGACTACAAGCACCTGGTGCAGTTTCTTCATTTCCAACTTCTTGGACGCTTCCGTGATCTTGCGCTGCTGCTGGATGATGCGCCGCAAGGCGGACTCATCCCACTCGTCCCAGTAAGCCTGCTCACGCTCCGTGTTCACCCCCAGGTCCTGCTCGATGTACTTCTTGACGGGGATCCAGCCATCATCGATGTTGACGCTTGGGCTGAAAACGTAGATCCGCTCAAACACGCCCTTGTACTGCTCCAGGATGAGACTGATGAGCGCCACAGTTTTGCCCGACTTGCTGGGCCCAAGGAAGATGCCCGTGCATGGCACCAGGGGCACCACGGGGTCCGAGGCTTGCTTGCTGGTGTACTCAGGCGTGGGGAAAAGCTTGATCTTCCCCATTCGTCCTTTTGCGTTACGCAAGTTCCGGAAGCCGGCAGCTGAAGTATACGTGGCCTATCTGCGGCTGCCCTAACCCACCTGTTGCCGGAGGATTGACGGAGACGCAACCCAAGGCTCACATGCAGCAAATGAGGCCAAGAGAATTCCACCCTTCTGCTATGAGTTACCGTTGCGCTTAGAAAGCACTTATCATGCTTTTCGAGCCACAAAGCTCCGCAACAGAAACGCACTTACAAGGCCAGAAACAGCACTTTAAGCCCGGGCAACTTAAACTTCCGAGACGCACAGAATGCGACTAGGACCCGTTTTGCCTGCATATTGAAGCAAGCGAAAACCCTTGCAGAAGTGCAAGCAGAAGGGCTGTGGCCGCACCGCGCAAAACCACCAAATTTTCGCAGAATCCACATTTGCTGAATGATAACCTCTGAAGATGCGCTGTGGGCGGTTTTAGATTTCACAAATAACAGAGAGAGGCGGCCTCTGTGATCTGCTGTCGTTGTCTCGCCCAACTTGCCATTCTTTTTTTACGGGGCCAGTTTTTTTTGCTCGGCCGCGCGCAGTTGCAGCCGGGAGAATAGCTTTTTACACGGTTTTGCGCTGAAAAATGCTATTACTCCAGCCCGTATATCTATATACGGGCTGGAGTAATAGCTCGTTTTGCACGATTTTTCGCATGGCATTTGCTTGATTTTTGCATGGCATTTTTGTTAACGTGCGGAGCGGGCGCCACGCCGTGATGCCGCAGCCGATGATCTTGAAGCAGGAGTGTCTCAGAGGCTTGCCGTTTAAACATGGCTGATTGGCCGGGCGCTCTGAAGTTTTTTTGGGACCGATGTATGGAGGCGCTACATGTTCATGTCGGTAAGGAGCAATCGCAACGAGCCCAAGGGGAGCAGCAACAAGAGGTCCTGCACGTCGATTGATTTCAGGAGTGTTTTTCTTTGCATCAGGCAGCGCCCGCCGTCGTATCATCATCGTCGCCTCGGTCACGTTGAAAAACAGATCGAGCAGGCTCAACTATTTCTCAGGTCTTCGAATGTAAGCTACAACCCGCAAATCTTTTTCTACTTGGCAGGCGCGCCGTGAGACCGTGTTGGAGCAGGAAGTGGCGGCTCTGACAGCTGAGAACGAGAAGCTGCGTCAGTCGCTCCACGAGTATCAGGCCGCCTCCAAGGTGGGGAACGCCAGGGTCGCGGAGCTGATGCAGGAGGTGGCTCGGTTGGAGGCAGCCAAGTTGGAGGCTGCCAGGGTGGAGGCGGGGGACACATGTTTGTTTCATGGTTTGACACGCGCTTTGAGGAGACTGTGAAGCACTTGCACAGCTTGGCAAAGGCTTGGAAAAAAACTCTCGTTAGTTGCAGAGCTGTGCCCTATCTATCCTACTCGAGAGGCACGCGAGCCCGTTGAGGAACTGCGCTGCAAGGCCTCGGTGCGCAGTGTTTTGTCTTGCACTGAGCTGGTTGATGTCGTCAGACGTTGATTCCTGGACCACACTCACCTCCGAAGTACAGTTCTTTGCTCAGTTTGCGCGCTTCGAGTCACTCATGTGTTGAGAATTTTCTCAGTTTCTGCCATACTCGCATAGGTAGAAAGTGACTGGAGGGCCACCGTGCTGGATCCGCAGAGCAGAAAGGTTGCCGCGCGCTTTTTCAGAAGAAAGTTTAATTGCACGATTTTTGTATGATATTGGCATGGTTTGATTTTGCATGTCTTGGAACAAACAGCATGCCCGCAACGCGCTGGTGGAAGCGCCTCGCATGTGGTTCACCCCCGAAGAAGACGTGGAAGTCCCCCCCGAAGTTTTTTCCTGTCAGGCTGCCGAGTGTGTCAGGCCGGAACCATCCTGGCGAAGAAACACAACTCCGGAGGGTCTGTCTGGCGCTGGGGCGGTTTTTTTTTGGCAGTGCCGAGCGGGCACGTAGGATTGATAGTGACTCGCCCAACCGTGTTTGATACTGGCTCGCCCAACTGGGCCCGATTTTGCCTGTTTTTGCACGATTTTGGGGTTGCACCCTTTTGCACCCTGATTGCACCCTAATTGCACCCTGATTGCACCCTAATTGCACCCTTCAGCCGGTTGACTTTTTGCTAATTTTTCTGCTTGATTATGGGATCAGGTTTTTTTCAAGTACTGGCTCGCCCAACTCCGTCTCGACACCGCGATTTTGCATGTTTTTGACAGACCGCATCCAGCCGAGGGTGGGGGGGAGCTGAGGCAATCTTGGGAAAGGGGGGTGAGACACCTGAGACACCTGAGACACCCACTAAACGTCGAACGGGAGTGTCTCAAACGTGTCTCAGACCTGTCTCAGCAATAACAAGACAGCCAGCAAAAGATTGAGACACCTGAGACACTCCTGTTCGCGGTTTGGTGGATGTCTCAATCTTTGGCTGGCTGTCTTGTTATTGCTGAGACAGGTCTGAGACACGTTTGAGACACTCCTGTTCGACGTTTAGTGGGTGTCTCAGGTGTCTCAGGTGTCTCACCCCCTGTCTCAGGATTGTCTCAGCTGTCCCAACCTTCAGCTGGCTGGGGCCGGCGCCGGCGTCGAAAAAAAGTGAAGATGTTGCCAGTTTTTTGGTGCTGCCACCTGTCGTCAAAAAAACGACGAAGAGTTGCAGCGGGCGTTTTTGTTGAGTTTTTTGACACCCAACGGGTTGGGCTTGGTCCACCCAACCCGCCGGGCTCGTCCGCCCAACTCCGTTTTTTGATACTGGTTCGCCCAACTCCGTTTCGATACTGGTTCGCCCAACGGGCCCGAAATTCGTTTTTTTTAAGTACTGGTTCGCCCAACGGGTCTGGAGGGGTTTCGGATTTTTTTTAAGTACTGGTTCGCCCAACGGGTCTGGAGGGGTTTCGGATTTTTTTTTAAGTACTGGTTCGCCCAACTCCGTTTCGATACTGGCTCGCCCAACTCCGTTTCGATACCGCGATTTTGCATGGCATCCAGCCGAGGGTGGGGGGGAGCTGAGGCAGTTGGCTGGGACAGGGGCGTGTCTCAGGTGTCTCACCCCCTGTCTCAGGATTGTCTCAGCTGTCCCAACCTTCAGCTGGCTGGGGCCGGCGCCGGTGTAGAAAATAAATGCAGATTTTGCTGGTTTTTGGGCACTGCCCCCTCTCGCGTTTGATACTGGTCCGCCCAACCCGCTGGGGCTCGATACTGGTCGGCCCAACCGTTTTTGCAGGTAGCATGGATGGCCCCTGTTTTGGAGGCTTGCCGAGGGTGCGTGGTTAGGTACTGGTCTGCCCAACGGGTCTGGGGGGGTTTCGTTTTTTTCAATGGTTCGCCCAACGCGCCTGCAGATTTTGTTTCAGTAGTTCGCCCAACGTCTGGTGACAGGGACCCAGAGACACGCCCAGCCAGCCGAGGGTTGGGGCAGCTGAGACAATCGCGGGAACAGGGGTGAGACACCTGAGACACCTGAGACACCCACTAAACGTCGAACAGGAATGTCTCAAACGTGTCTCAGACCTGTCTCAGCAATAACAAGACAGCCAGCCAAAGATTGAGACACCTGAGACACTCCTGTTCGCGGTTTGGTGGATGTCTCAATCTTTGGCTGGCTGTCTTGTTATTGCTGAGACAGGTCTGAGACACGTTTGAGACACTCCTGTTCGACGTTTAGTGGGTGTCTCAGGTGTCTCAGGTGTCTCACCCCAGTCTCAGGATTGTCTCAACTGTCCCAACCCTCGGCTGGTTGGACCGGCGCCGGCGTCGGGAAAAATGTGAAGATTTTGCCATTTTTTTTGGCGCTGCCACTCAACGTCAAAAAAACGACGAAGAGCAGCGGGCCTTTTTTGTTGAGTTTTTTAGACACCCAGCGGGTTGGGCTTGGTCCACCCAACCCGCCGGGCTCGATCCTGTTCCGCCCAACTCCGTTTTTGATACTGGTTCGCCCAACTCCGTTTCGATACTGGTTCGCCCAACTGGGCCCGAGATTCGTTTTTTTAAGTACTTGTTCGCCCAACGGGTCTGGAGGGGTTTCGGATATTTTTTTAAGTACTGGTTCGCCCAACGGGTCTGTGGGAGTTTTTTTAAGTACTGGCT